AAAATATATATGTATATATCTTTAATCAATACATAGCTCTATAGGGCGGAATAGCAAAAACTTTACAATACCAAAAAGGAAAAAAAGAAAATAAGGAAAAAAAGAAAGAAAAAAAAAAAAAAAAACAAAAACGACAGCAACATTAAATAAATATTACATTTGTTATTAGCACGAAATATGTCACATATCTTAGCTTTTATCTGCTTTCTCTCAACTTTACTCATCTCCTTTCCTTTATTATCATTATCTTACCGTATCACATGCGACAACAACGCATTCCTGTTAATTTAAATACACATTTAACAATAATATCTACAACTATTATTTAATTTATTTATCTCTTCCCTTTTTTGCACATTTTTTTTTTCATTTTAAATCTTTCTCATTTATATTCGCAATTTTTAATTAATTGTATCTTTTCAATATCAAAACAATTTCTTTTACATTTATAAAGTTATACAAAACCAATCAAAATATATTATCATTATTATTGTTATAATAACGCATAAATTTTCATGCATACTTAATTCAATTAAACTTAATAATAAGTTATCAATTAAAACTGAATTTGAATTAGATTAAATTCGATAATTCAAATTACACTCATTTAATGATTAAATTCTCGAGAGTTTTTTTGCTTATTGTTTGACAACTAGTAAATATTCACTAACAACAACAATAACAATAACAATGATAGTAGCAACAATAACAACAATAACAATAGCAAGAACAGGAACAACGACAGCAACAACAAGAACAACAATAACAGTAACAATAACAATAACAATAATGATAGTAACAACAGCAATAAAAATAATGAGGAAAATGTATGATATTGTAATAATATTAGCGTTGTAATGAAAGAAAACTGGTTGGTTTCATTGTTGAACGAATGCTTTTGCAATTATCCCTTAATATGTCACAGCTTTCACATTATTGTCATTTAATTAATCCCATATATTTGTCACACATGTCAAATCACTCCTTCTACCTCAAAAAGAGGAAGAGGGAAGAGTCGGATAGTTTTCTTAATTCATCCATATTCATCACTTCCTATAACATTTTCCATGTTTGGCAATCTTATTGTCATTTTGATGAGCAGCCTTATATGCATGTATTGCATGTATTGCAAAATGCAATACATGCATGCAATATATATTTGTGATTCCTTTCCCATTATTTCTATTTGTTAATTTCAAATGAAAGCAATGGAAAATGTTGTCGTTGAAGGTGACACGAAATACAATGACACATATTTTCCCATCTTGTTGTGCTATAAATTTGTTTAAAATTAATCTTCAAAATAAACGTAATAAGATGATTTGTACTTCAAAGCTTTCAAATCTTTCCATCTTTTCATTTGTTTTTCTCTCTCTCCCTCTCTTTTTTCCCTTCTTTATTAGTAATTTCCATTCTTTTTCTTTATTTTTACTTTATTTCGTTTTACTTTACCTCTTTGCTTTTTCTTTTTTCTCCTTATCAAATCAGGGATTTTTTTAAAATTTAGGCAAAAATATGAAAGATAAACGAACAAATGGCAATTATTTCAAAGAGTTCAGAGTTCAAAAAAAAAAAAAGAGAAAGGAACATTTATTTAAACGGAAAATTCATTATTGAAACCATTTGTTGAATGTTTCATTTCAGTTACTTCAATTGTCAACCTTGTCATCATTCTTTTTGTTTGTCAAACATTTGGCTTCTCATTAATATATTTATTGTTACCGTACTAGAAACAATCACTTTGCAATTGAGAAAATCATTGATGAATATTAGTTAGGAAAGGTATGAAATATTGCTTTTCTCGTCATTTCCTGGAAAAGCTTTAAATGAAGCGGAAAAATTCGAGAAGCAATCCAATTGATGCTTCAACACTCCATCATTCAGGAAATAATCAAGTGAATTGCTTTTAACCGGTTGATTGTAACGGATGATTGAAGTGATGATGAATGGGTATTTATCATTTTTAAACCCTATGCTATGACTATTACTCATCAGTTATGCATCCATGAGCAACTAAATTAAAATCATTTGTTTTCACCATCTCGATACAACTAAAACATTTGTGAAATGATGATAAAGGAATTGCCGGATCCAGATAAATGGAATAATGATGAAGGAATTGCCGGATCCAGACAAAAATTGGCTGAATTCAGAATTTAAATGAATTGACAGGAATGAACGATTGCCTTCATATCCTCAAAGCAATATAATTTGAAATTAGTTTTATATTAAAAGTTGAAAAAAAAGCAAAACTTTTATGCTACTTCAAAATTTGAAATAATATATCATATATTAATAGATATTGTAAATTAAATTGGAAATACCATTCGGGAAAGCTCTTAAATTAAAATATAAATTGAAAATCTATAGTGTACCAATTAAGTAGTAATGATTAAAAATTTCCACTTAATTAATGATCGTGACATCGTAACAACATATTCTATTTCATATATATTAATGGTAAAAGATTTATTTGGTATCAGAAATTAAAAAAAAGATTCATTTACTTATTTTATTTTCGATTTTGGTTGAAAGAAAATAACAAGGAAAGATGTAATAAAATGAATGAGAATGATATGATAAAAGATATGACAAATTTTTGGTGAAAAAGAGGTGACAAAATTTTCGGAAAACATCAATTAATCATTGTGTAAAATTGTAAAATGGAAAAAAAAGTTTGATATTTTATGCGACAAATCAAAAAATTCAAAGAAATCTATTGTAGATATTTTGAGAAAAGGAAGGAGAATGTTTATCTCAGGAAAAGTATGTCCTCCGGGAAAACCGGGACTAAATCAATCAGCTCTTTTCTCTTCAACATAAATCCAATTCTTATCGACTTTTTTCATTCCAGAATATTCTCCCATTCAAATACCTATTTGTATATTAACAACATTTAAAAGTAAACAAAAGAAGTTATTTTTCTTCAAAAATAATTTATTATGCGAAGAAAAAAAACAAAAATTTCTCGAAATTACAAAAAAAAAATCGAACAATATGAGCTATTTAGATTATTAATTACCAAAGGAAACATCCAAAATTATAAATTTATTTTACAAAAGAAAAAAATTGAGTTAAAATTTAAGTTATACAATTAGTTATATAATTCCGGTAAAAAATTAGTAGAATTAGTAAGGTTGAAGTTAATTCAATTGGAATATTTATCTGAAACTTCAAGCATATCAACAAGATTAACTTTATTTACAGGATAATTAAAATTAAATAATTTAAATTTCACATATTTTGTATTAAAAATTTTAATCGATCTGGATAAATTGAACTTAATAATTTAATATTTTGGAAGGGATGAAAAATTTTTTTCCAAAGTTTATTCATGCTATGCAAATGAATGATGATTAATTGTAATTGGATGAGGGGAAAAAGTGCTACGGATTTGAATCGAATTTTTGCTAAGATTAATAAAAGGGAAGATGAAATGGAACGTTATCCAATGACAAATTATTTGATATAAGCCGAAAATTGTTCGATAATATAATACTTAATGTAATTTTAAATTTATTTAATGATAAGTTACTTGAAATAAGTGAAAAGTTATTCAATATCACTGAAGTGACAATTTCAGTATTTAGCATCATAGCAAATATAAAAAGCTAATTTGACATATACTAAAAATGATAATTAAAATTTTAAAGTTTTATAAAATATTCCAGAAATATATGTGAAACTTGTACGATATATTGTCACATTAAGTTTGTTTGACAATCATCATTTCATAATAATTAACAATGCGCTTTTTTACAGTAACTAATTGCTCCATAATTTTATTCGTTTACACCGTTAACATCTATCTTTTTTATCTTTTCATATAATTTGCTTTTAAAAATTATTGTAAAAATTTCCGAAGAGAGAAAAAAATTAAACAAAAAAAATTTTAAATGGCACAATTCTTTCATCAGAAATAAATTAATCAGTTAAAATAGAATGAATTACTTAATTTAGCATCAATTATTTTTGAATATATAATCGATAAATGAAATCGTTTTTGTGATAAAAAGTTATTAACAAAATATTACAATTATTGTAACTAATCCTACAGATATTACAATATCATCGATGCATTCGTTGTTATAATTTGATACTGTAATCGATCACAACTACACCTTATTTATCTACCGTAATATGCCATATCTATTATCTTTCTTTTATTCATACAACGTTGATGAGATCAGATAATAATCAATGGAATATTTCAATTTATGATAACATTTTAACATTGCTCATTTGACAGAGAATTTAGTTTACTGTATGATTACAAAAATGGTGAATAAAATGAAAATCATATCATTTATTATCAAATATCATATTATGAAGCTATTCATTATTACTGTATGACTACCATGGATCGACGAATTTATTTTTTATCATAGTGCTAGAGTTTGAAAATTATCAGTTGATAAGGGTGATAATACTTTTACTATATCACTCATATGAATATATGAGCTAATTGGATGGATTCATTCATTTATTGATCAAATCCTACTGTAAAAAAAAAAATCCGCAGCATTAGATATATTCATTATTTTTGTTAAATAACGATAAAAGTGAATTGAAATGCAACACCTCACGTTTGTTGACAACGACACACGTACGTAAACGACGTGAATGACATGAATTCAAATTTGTTGACAACGACACACGTACGTAAACGACGTGAATGACATGAATTCAAATTATCACAATTGATACTTTTTATCTATGATATTATTGATGCTATTTGAAAATGTAAGAAGTTTTTCTTTACCTTTCACACGTTTTCATAAAAACACCACATGAATTTGATTCTGTTCCTGTCCTTTTCCGTTTTTTTCCTAAATTTAGCATACCTTTATTATTGATTTATCATAAATTCCGGTATTTGTTCATTACTGCCCTAAATGGTTCATCACTTCTCACATCTTTCCTCGCATTTTCATCTATCAATCAATTGTTGAAGTTCAAAAACTTCCTGTTCATCACAATCTAATTTTTGATCCTTCTCTCCGGAATATTGCCGGATTTGTTTTTTCATGCTTCCTTTTGAACATTTGATAATGTTAGCTTTTCTCTTATTTATCAAACTTTTAAAGTTACCATTTGAATTATCCTTGTGAGATCTATTTGAGCTTAAATTCGAATACCTTCCAAATTCGTCAATTTTTTCCGTTTTTCCTCTTTAATTTCTTGACATTGCCTTTTTTAGGTTTATTCCGGAATTTCTGATTCATTGAAGCCTTTTTAGTTTCAGATGTCTTAGATTTACTTGAAAGTGACGATGAATCTAATTTCCTTTCAGGAATTTGTGACAAATGATTTAACGAAGTGTCCTTTGGTATGATAGTTTTTGCTGAAGCATTATTAGCACGATTCGAACGTATTTTGCTTTTTGTATTTATTCCATTCCTTCCTGAATTAGATTTAGAAGAAGCGGAAATTTTCCGATCAGATTTTTCTTCCTTATCTGAATATATGATCACATTTGAATTTCGATTAAATTTCTTTGAAATTTTATTCTTTGCTTCTTTGGTAGATTTTTTGATATCATTACGAGTTAATCTTTTAGCTAATTTTGCAGTCTTTATCATTTCTTGACTAAAATCTCTATCATCATGATGATTTTTTCTTAATTTTTTACTTTTTGAAAATGACAATGGCAATGTTTTGGTTAATTTTTCATTTGACCTTTCAATTGAACTTCTTTTTACTTTATCATCAGTTGAAGTATTTGATAAATGCTTAATCGTCCTCTTTTTATGTTTTCCTAATTGTTCTTTTGTCTTCTTCTCCTTCTTTTTCTTCTTTCTTTTTATAAATTCTTCCTTCTCATTTTCAAATTTCTTCTCCAACTTTAATCGATGGTTTAATGCCTTCTTCAAATTTCCTTCTTCTTTGCTTTTCATTTTTCGTAAGTCATCTACCTTTGTTAATTGTTTTTTTCTTCTTTTTCGTCTATTACTGATCACTCTTTTGTCTTTTAAGCTTCGTGCAGAAATTCCCTCATTTACTTCGGATTCTAAAATTCCTTTTTCGGATTCTGATGATAATTTTCCCTTTGATTGCCTCGAAATACTACGAGCGGTAACAGTGCTATCAGTTATGTTATGATTAACACTTTGTGATTGGGAGTGATATTTGCTATCTTCATCCATTTTCTGATGTCTCTGTAATAGCTGATGGTTACTTTTGTTGGAATATTTAGGCTTGTTTGCAAAACTTCGTTTATTGAACTTCTGATGTCGTGTCCTTTGGCTTTGGCTAGATGGTGATTTTGACGTTTCGACAAATTCCACATGTCGACGTCTCGAACTTCTTACTGATGTACCACTACTACTGCTATTTAGTGTTTTTGAATTGCTTGATCTGAAACTTAGATTTTCTACAAAACATTAGCCATTTCCTGTACGTCACATCTTCATACGTGTACCATAAAAGTTTACGTAACCAAAAAGCCATTTATTGAATTATTATTTAAAGTGACATTTAAATGCATTATTTCAAATACCTGCCGCTTGAAGTTGTAATAGACCTTCCAGATCTCTCAGATCTTGTTTTCGCAGTTTTTGTGGGTGTCAACTTGTAATCCTTCAATTTAACATTTCTCAATTTCATAACAACAAAAATTTCCTTTCTAATCATCCCAACTATATCAATAATTGATTTATATTTGTGTAAATTCATTGACAATATATGGGATATTATCCAATAATTCTGGAATTATTTCAGTACTTAAATCTTTCATTTGTTTTTTAAAATCAAATTTGTAAACAAACAAAAAAACAATGAAAAGAAAAAAAAGACTTGTCAACCATTTGTTGTAAGCGTTTCGTCAAATCTTCTTCCACAATACTTCTTGCTGTTTTAGCTGTCTGATGGCTTCTTCGACTTTTTGCAATCCTCTCCGATGAACTTCGAGTTTGATTCCTAGCATGAGCTGTTGAGATACCATCCATTTGGGATGTTGACAGACTTGCCTCCAACCTATCATAATTTGCTAATTTTGTTCATGTATAGATTGTTTATTTTGATGCTTTATCATTATAAAGTAACTAATGCTTTATCATTTATTTAATCATCTGATATGATAATATTATAGTAAATAAGAAAGGAATCTTAGGCTTGTTAAAATTAACTTTTAAAATTTATCTATTTCTATTAGGCTGATAAATTTTTGATACTTTGTTGAAATAAAAACAAATAAAAAACTGAAAACTTCAGTAGTAAACCGTTTAGGCGATGTCAACAATCTATTTGGTGCATTGTCCCGATGACGGATTAGTTGCGGTCTTTTAGATGAAAATGTTTGTGTTCTCATCTCTAAAATTATGATATTTTTTGATAAATAAACAATTCGAAATTAATCAATCATTAAAAATATTGAAATTTTCTGAGAAATTAGCCATACTTCGGCGTAAATTTAGTTGTCGTTGAAGCCATTCCTTCTTTCGTCTTTTGGGTGATTTAAATAGCCATGAGCCTGGACTTTCCTTTATTGACTTAAATATATTCATTTACATCATTCCATAACTTTTTCATCATTTAAATATGCAAAACTTGTTACCGATTAAAGATTTACCTCTGCAGCTGTTATTGATCTTTCACTTGATGATGGTTCATTTCTAAATTAAGCCATTAATTTTCATCATATTAATTATATTAAATGAATAGTTTTCTTAAAGTGATAATATCAGATGTTATCATTTTGATTATTATAATCTTATTTACATTATCAATTTAATAATTTCTCCCATTGTGGCAGTATCGAATCAGTAATTTTTCTTTAATAATGATAGTATCAAATCAACTTATCAAAATTTGTTAAATTACTAAGAAAGTATTTTGGATTAACAGATGGTGAGATTTTTAGCAAAGTTATCGTAGTATTACTAATTAACAAATTCATATTGTCATGTAATTTGTCAAAGATTATGATATGCCTTTTTTTTTTTCTTTTGCATATTTACCTCAGTCAATGACCTGGAAAGAGCATTTTCCAAAATAAGAAATAAGACGAATTTTGTTTCTCATCAAAGAATACTTAACTTAATTAGCACATGGCTAATTACAATCATTGTGAATTGATTATAAATTATCATAATCATTACAATTAATCAGATTTACTTTTATTTCGATATTTTTAAATTATTAAAACTATACTGTCAGGAAAAAAAAACGTTTCTAGTTATTTCATAAAATTAAATGAAATAACCTGCGGGAAGTAGGAAATGTTTCGTTGAAATTCGTTAAATTTCCCTTATTTTCTGAAAATTTTACATTTTCCTCAATGATATACTATCTAATGTAATTAATTAATAATCAATTGATTTAATGAGGGCAACATTTAAGGTAGCTGTTTAAATTTGAAATTTTTACCCGACGATGGTTCTTGAGTTGATTCAGTGCGTAAACTATCTAAAAACAACTTACAATAATTTGCATATTTTTATTTGTCTGATGTTAATTAGCAAAGTTTTAGCATAATTTAAAATATTTTAAAAGTTTTACGACTTCGCTGACTGATTATCTCATTTTAAAAAGTTATTTTATTGATTGGTTGATTTATTTAATCTTTCATTTATTAAGCTTTTCATTTATTCATTTCTTGTCATTACATTCATACTTCTTTTGTGTGCATATTTAAGATCATAATTAAGTTGATAAGTAAATATTCAAATATCGAAATAATATTTTCACTACGAATTTCAGTTTTGTTAAATTTAAAACGATTAAATGACTTTAGTTTTTATTGAATGGTTTTTTTTAATTTCCTTTTTTTACCCAGTTCTTTTTTTCGTCTAGTTCGAGAACTCATAGAAAGTTCACGTAATTTAGCTCGGAATAAGCTGCCTTTCTTCTTTTCCTTTTTCATTGCCTGTAAACTTATCATAGAATTCATTTGCATATTATCATTCGAGTGTAAAATTTTATCAATTACAATACGGATAAAATAATATCATTTTATTGAATGTATAAAATAACATAAACCTGCACTTGTTGACCTCCATGATTTTTGTAATTATAACTTTTCCGTTGGCTATTACTCCTATCATTTTCATTGTCAACATTATCACTTCTATAATTAGTCTTATCATCTTGTTGTTGATGTTGGTTATCAATTCGTTCTCTTTTTAATCGTTTACGTAGTACATCCCGAATACTTTTTGCATCTATACGTTTCACATTCTTCAATCCATCCTTCTTTTGTATATCATACTGTAAAAAAAAAAAAAAAAGAAAGAAAAAGAATTCTTTAATGTTTTTATGATATTTTTACATTTCAATTAATATATTTAAATTTGAAATATTTTTTAAATTAATTTAAATTTTGAAATTAACATATACTCGTTTTCGACGCAATTGCTCTCTTCCAATTCGTTTTTCACGCTCTTTGGCATATAATGCATCAAATCTTTAAAACAAAAAAGTGAACAAATTTTCAATTATTTTTAAATAAATCTATTTAAGATAAATTTACGAAACATTTAGCATACGAATTAAATCTTTATGAAACGTAAAATCTAACTTAATTTCCTATCGAAAAAATAGATGATATCATTTTTATTTTACTAAATATCAATTTAAATTCGAAATATCTTCAATATCTTGAATAATTAATTAATTGATTAATTATTGATTGATTTGTGATCAATTTTAACTTATTACTTCAATAAATCTCATATTTTTTTCATTTTCTTTGTTGGATATTATTTTAGCAAAACACGAAATTGTACGCACACTTCAATCAACATAGCCTTTATTAAAAAACTAAATATTGGACAAATTTTCACTTACTCTTCTCCTCTTCCAGAATCCATTCCTGAAAAATTTTCCGAATTTAATCCCTGAATTTAATCCATATTAGTGTAAAATTCGAATATTTTCCTCCAAATATTTCAAGCTCAAAAATTTACAAAGATCTTTCATTTTAATCAATTGTTTTAATTGTGTAATTAGATGGTTCTTTGACTTGTTTTTTACTTGCACTTTTTCCGGTTCTTCCTTCGTTAGTTTACATTTCTTGTAAAAAAAAAAGAATAAAAACCGGTTTTCGGAGGATGGAAAAACCGTTAATATTGCCAAAAAGAAAAAAAGAACAAAGGAAATTGTTCCACCAAGAAATATATTCCGTCAAAAGAATGATAAAAATATTCAAAAACAATGTTTAAAAAAAAAGAAAATTCTAATTAATCAACCGTTTGCTGTAATCTTATCACTTAATAAATTGTCTTAATAGTTTTATCGATAACAGAGTATAAATAGAATAGGATAATGAAGGCTTTGTACATTTATAAACTCTAATTCTGAATCAGCACTGTTCAATTAACTTATCATTAATGTTAAACCGAATCCTGTTTTTTTCCTTTCTTTTTTCTATGTCCTCAATTGGTCAATTCCATTTAACTAATTCTAATTAATTGATTAATTAAGTAAAAGACTAAAATTGTTATGTCACTGATAGTTTTTTTTTAATTTAAATAAAATAAAATGAAAATTCAAGCCTTCACTATTGCGCAATCGTCGTAATTGCTCCAATTTAGCCATTTGTTTTCGATGTTCAAGAGATTCTAAATGCTCTCTTCGACGAGTACCTCGTTTACAAATCCAAACAATTATTGTTGATATGAACCAACACAATGATAATGAAACAAATCCTTATCAAAAAAAAAGAAAAATTAATATCTTTTGAAAATTTAAAATATTCAAATTTTTAAATTTCGATGAGAAATTAATTTAGTTTTCGAAATTGAAAAGAAAATGAAAATTAAAGATAAACTATCGATGAATTGAAAGAAAAATGGAATGATTACATTTTTAAATCATCACTTCTTGTTTTTTTTTTTTTTTTATTAGAATATTGGCTTTTTTTTTAATATTTGAAAGTTAACCAGTAAACCAGAAACATTTCACAAGTATTGAGTGTGTAACATTTTAATTAATCAAGTAATATTAATTAGTAATGCAATAATTAGCCAATAATCAAAATCAACCTAATCATTAGGTTGAAAATATATCAATGGCCAACATACGATTCTATGCTATCCCTTAGGCTTAGGCTTATTAAATGGAAGGAAAGAAAAAAACCAAGTACTATTATTAACCTGACGTTATATTACTTTCCATGTTAATATAAAATAACCGTGCAGTTTTACAACAAATATACAAATAAGCATTTATCATTTTAATTAATTTATTTTGAAGCTTTTAATAATATGCAAATATTTTAGTTCAAAATTATCGCATCAAAATTTTTAAATATAAATTTGATTCGAATAAAAAATATAATTTGATGATATGATAATGATGTGTAATATTTCAAAATAATAAAATACCTAATTTTTTTCTTTCTTGTCCGTATTTCTCCTTTCTCTCTCTCTCCCTCTCTCTCTCTCTCCTC